GCTCTTCGGCTTTGAGCGCTGAGCAACAACTTCCCTTTAGAGCGTAAATTCAAACGAAACTATGTGGAGAACTGCACAGCTTTGTAGGTGTATTGCTAACACATTCTCGATTTGTATTCATTTGTAATCAATTTGTTCATCATATTCCAAGGTTATATCACATCATAATGCAAACTTTAGCCAATAGAAATCGTAAAAATGTTGCATAAGTGATTGTGATAAATCTTGTCTATTCAAGCACAATGAGAACTATCGTATGTGATGCAATAATAATGATGGCTAATTCGAAAAAAAAAAACTGGCTCAGTTTCGTTTCCGCGTTTTCAACCATATTCCATCTCCAGCCGTGCATTTCCAAAATTTCGGCTCCATTTCCAAAAGTTTTTGAAAATTCAGTTCCGGCTCTGTATTCTTCGACTTTCGGCTCCAGCTCCATCTCCAGCCCCGCGGTTTGGAAAATTTCGGCTCCAGCTAATTTTTCAAAACTTCTGCCTCATCTCCGATTCAAGCTCTGAAATTTCCTCTGCTCTGTTCCGAATCCGGAAAAACAATCAATCGTAAAGATCTTATTGTTAGATGCGAGTACTGAATGTTGTTTTGAAGGAGCCAAAAAAAACTCGTCTGATCTCCGGAGCATAGCTGCTAATAAATTTATGGTATGACGTATATTACGTGAAATATTTCATCATCGATGTTTATTTTTCTTTGTGATATAAAATGTATGAGATTCGTAAGACGTTGGCATGAGATTATGAGATATTCAGTGGTTTTGACGTTGTGTTATGAGATGCGTGCAGGTGAGCAGCATGCAGGTGAGGGTTTATGGGGAAGAATGAAACTCGACGGGATGAGATGCAACGGAGTGAATGACACGTGTCACCACACACTAATTCTGAATGCTGTCGCTTTGTTATCTGCTGATGGTATTATCTTACATATGTTTGATGTGTACGTATTTGGTAGACACATGCATACAACGCATGCATATAACCATACTGAATTGATTATTCACTCCATTTGATTATTCAACGATTGATTATTTGATTTTTTGAATTGATTGTTTCCGTGATTTGCTGCTTAATTGTTCGTTGGTTCGATTGCTTTTTGCGTATTTGATAACAAATTCATTTCAGTCGTCCACTGCATTTAGCCCGTATATTAACGTTTAAAATGTCCATTGTTGGAATTATTCTATTAGCAAAGTTTGCTGTTGTATGCATTATTTATTCCAAATTGTATGCGTATTCGTGACGATCACAAAACATTTCTTCATTTCATTCATTCTTTACAGTTTCATAACACATTTTACACAGTTCAAACGTAATTCCAAAAATTTTTTGCGGTGTGCAGTTGTTGTATTGTAGTTGTTGTGAAATTCTCCTTGCTTTGATCACCGTTGAAAGTGAACGAGGCGATTTACAACGAAAATGTCTACGAGGCTCTATTTGCGATGTACTTATTTATTTGTTTAATCGGCGATTACAATAGCTCAGTACGAGTTTATGACTCTCTGCTGTCACCAATATCAGTTTTTTCCTTGACATTCTTTTTCCTTGATATGCTTCTTTTCGCGAAGCTAACGACAACAGCGCTCAGGATCATCTGTCTCCGTGAAATTCTAACATCAGTTATTAATTTGACGAGCACAGAGGTGTTGGGATGCTCTCTCATATTGCCCAATGATTTCTAGGGATAGGGACTCAAAACCAGCTCGAAAATACCCTCGATTGAATAAGCGTCCATTGGTTGCTTACGAGTAATTGTTTGAAATAACCAAACCAGTGATCATTCGAGATCAGTAGTAAACAACGATTTGGATTACCTTAAGTGAATAGATCCGTAACAATCGGCGCATTAAACATTCCTCAACCAAGCGACACTGAATGCTCGTTGCCGTAAATAATTTGCATAATTAGGCATAGTTGAATGCCAATCCAGTAAATAATCGTAACAACGATAAATACTTTGCAGATCTCGCAGAGCAATCGGCAAAATATTTATCGTTATCACAACTATTTACTGGACTGGTATACGACTGTGCCTAATTATGCAAATTAACCAACCGCCCAGTATCCAAATAACAAGTAACCGATATATTGTTACTGTACCAGTTATGCTTGATGCACCTAATCTTAATATCTGCCTGATATTCCAGTAGTGATGATAATTATGGAAGAGACTGAGTGCTTCATCTATAGTGCTTAGAGAAGAGCGGAGCGTAATTTCACGCTTTTGTGTCATCCTGAAATCCCAATCGCTTTTACTGGTAATTGTTGCGAAGAAACTTTTGCAAGTATTAATTCCAACTCGATGGAATGATAACGTGTACTACTCGGAATTTTACGCTTGATAATTTGTTTGTATCCGTGATGACTTGAATAAGCTTTTTGATTGATGCTCTTAATGAGTTACGTTACTGCTCAAGTAGAAGAGGGTTTTGAATGTGATTCGAACGAAACAATACCCTCAAATTAAGTCATCCGTCAGTCAGCTCTTCTCACTTCTCAGTAATGTATTAATAAGTTTGTTAATGATGTACTATGTCACCAACTCGTATTCTATTAGAATAAAGCAAAGCATAATTCTGCATTGAACTATTAACTGTCCTATTCACGAAGAATATGTTAAACATACCCTAAAGACATAGATGTGTATCANATCAAGTTTTACTCATTGTCAGTAACCACATAAAATTTCTTGCCACATTCTCCTGCCTCAAATGACCGATCACGTCTGTCGAGAGCACTATGAGAGAGTAACCTTCAGAGTGGTGATAACAGGAAATTCGTATTGTGTATTATGCAACAGGAAATTCGTATTATGCAATAGGTCTCTTTAAAACAACTTCTAATGAGCTAATATTTCTTATTTCCAATTGATTGAAAGACATCACATGTTCTCACTGAATTAATTGCTCAGGTTCTGATGTTATCGTTGCATAATTATTATAATAATAATAATCGAATTTCCAATTTTCCTCGTCTTATTTCTTTCTCAACATCCAATCTAAACTCCGCGCAATTATTCGTTTCCATTTGTAAATTTAAGTTTTTTTATTGGCTGAAGGAGTGTACCTTCCGATTTCGGTGTTTTTATCCTGTTCAACCTGAACAAATATACGTCAAACTGAGCAACAGCAATAACATTATTGACCGATGCATACAAAAAAAAAACTGCATAAACTCTGTGATTGTTCACACCCTTTCAGTCTTTTCGTTCCGGCCTTCTGGCATTTTCCACTTCCAACCCACTCTTCCAATTTCCGCCCCACTATCCGGTTCCGGTTCCGGCGAACTTTCCCGCTTTACGTCATTGTATTGCCTTCTTTGGAAGCGTTCGTTGTCATTAGGTCTTTTTTTTGCATTGATCTACTGAAATTTTTATGTTCTACAAAAATTCCGTATTATTTGATATTTACACATTCATTCAAAAACCTCGTCACGAGCGTTTTATGAAACGAAGAAAGCATGAAGGGAAGGGCATCAGTTCTTAAGCTCGTTGAACTCTCCTCGATGAACTATTCGATATACGATATTACTCATCACATCTTACAGCACCATTCTATCGTTGTTCTCAAAATTCCTTAAGAATTTTACTTAAGAAAAGTCTTTTTGCATTTCAAGTTTTCGGGTTGGATCAAACCGTCTTGTTCATCGTTGAAACTGTAATTGTTTGTTAGTAAGTAATTATTCTCAACATTCATTGTTGTTGTTTTTTTTTTGTTTATTTTTATCGAGATGAACAAGAAATGGGGATGTGTTTGATGTTTGATGTTCTTATTCTTATTAACTACTTCGCGTTCTTATTATTATTTTTTGATACTATCCTAATTTTCTTTGCAATGTTATTGGCTATTTTCAACCCGCTTCAATGCATTTATTTGCGTTCTTTTCATTTCTTTACTATTAACTGAAAACAAGTGAGAAGAAATATTGTTTGCTGATATTCGATCTTAGCGATTTATTTTTATTACTTGAAATGATTCGCTTCAATCGCTTTATTTTTTTGTCATCTCTTGTAGATAGCTTTTATTGTAGTGTTGGTGTAGGTGAGTCTTTAAGAAGAGGGTTGCAGAAGATTGTTTAATTGCAGAAGGCAGATTATGTGTGATGTGCGTGAAAGGCGTTAGTGAACGACGATTAGTACGATTATTGCTATTATGGGTGTTATGCGGCGTAATGGTACCGCGTTGTGCGGGCAGTGCCGTCCTGAAAGAAGCTGGCGGCATTGGCCCGACCGAGATGAAGTTCGATCTGCCGGTTATGGCCACCGCATTCGTGCAGACTGGCAACGAGTTGCATTATTTCTCAGATGTCGAGTACCACGAAAACCTCATCGGAGGTGCTCCTGTCAAGAGGTGAGCCTAGTTCTCTTCGTATTGTCTCACGCCATTCAAATATATTGTCCTTGTCTGTCTTCCAGCTCACTTTTCAAACTGATTGTGATGAGCACAACCTCGCACGCAGTTGGCAGAGAACTCTAGATGGGGTGATTCTTCTCAGTCAAGAATCTGCTGCTGACAGTTCAATGAGCCAGAAAATGATGATTCTAAAAGAAGTTGAGCGAATTTAAATAATGGCTGTGTTTTATAGCAGCATCGAAAGCGAACCAATGCTCAACAATCAATTACAGTTCAGCCCAAAAGAGATCAGTTTCGGGGAGCAGTAAGTGTTTTATTCATCTTTTTATGGAGTTGGAGTAATTGTAAGATTTAGCCTGCTGAAATCTTAATCACTAATTGTGATCATGGAATGTACAGTTTAAATCACATAGTTAGTGTTTAATTTTCAGCTAGAAGTTTCATGAATCATTGGATTACGTTAATTTTATCAGTATCGATTCTCCCAATTCGCAGTTATTCATATTACTAGAACTTTAAT